GGGAAAGAACCGCTCCGATGAAATCCCCGGGGTCTAGACACTGGTGGTGGTGATGAGTAGGTGAGACCGGTCTGAAGGAGGAAGGTTTAGCTTTGTCCTGAAGGAGACAGGAGGCGAGAGGGGTGGAGGTGGGTTGCGTGTGATCATCTGCAATGACAACTGACAGGGAGGAAGAGCAGGCATTTAAGGAATTTAGCATGTGCAGCGATTGGCTGCTGAGGGGTGACGCCCTCGTATTTAATGAGGGGGGAGGGAGCCATAGAGTGACGTGTAAGTGACTCGTGTTAGGTCTTCCTTATTGAACTTGCGCTAAAGCTTTCATTTCCATAGTTTATTATTTTTTATTTGGTTTATTCTTCAATCTTCTTTGGGCTACAATATGATTTAGTTTCGGGGGTGTAACAAATGGACAACATCCAACGTTCTATATTCTGTATTGTGCACTGAATGGATTACAACGCTAATTTGTTTATGGGTGAAAAAGGACAAAAGAAAAACTTTGATGCGTGAACTTAACGAGTAAAATACCAACTCTGCCAAAGGACAATGTAAATTATTTGTGGTCTCTTCTCTCTCTGCTCAGCGCTTTTTTCAGCCAGACGACGCCTGGGGGCTTCTTTTAGTCGTTGTCTTTTCTCACGAAGGGTTTCCCGGTGCTCCGCTCAGTGTTTACTGTTGACTCCTCGCTCTGCTTGTGAGAGATAATTGCCTCTGAGTGTCTGGGCATTGAGAGAGGGCGACTTCGAATACCCGAGGGTCCACACACTGCCATCTCCCTACGCATTGTTCACCTCATTTTACTGGAGTTCTCTTAAAACTCAAGCCATTCACCTTAAGAAAACTTTGACAAAAAACGTCCCCTTTAATTACATTTCAGTAAAGTTCCTTTTGTTTGATGGCCACAATAAATCACAACAGAATATTTTATGTGCATTTTTGTGAAAAACAATAAGCATTACCTCATCTGATTGATTGCCTCGACGCTCGAAGCACAAACACCATTTAGTCTTTGGATTAAAAGACGCCCTGTTATGCTTTTAGAGGTTTCCCATGTAGTGTGTTTTAGGTTTTAGTGCATGTAAATGGTCTGCAAAGGCAATTTTGAGGTACTTTACTTGAGTATTTCCATGTTATGCTACTTTGTATTTCTACTCCTCCAATTCAGAGGTACATGGTGTACTTGTACTCCACTACATGTATTTAATACCTTTAGTTACTTCACAGATGTGGATGAATGATGTGAAATCTAATCAAGTGTTGAATCAGACTTTAGTTCCACCTGGAGTAAATCCACCAGCTACCCTGCAGTATACAAAGCCATTCAAACTAGCTGCACCTTCACCAGCTTTGAGAACACTTTCATGATCAATCATTATAAAACATATCATATATATTATTCTGAAATGGACCAATCTGCACAACGACTACTTTTACTGTCGCTACTTTCACTATATTTTGATGATAATACTTTTCTACTTTTACTTGAGGAACATTTTGAATACAGGACTTTTACTGTAACAGAGTATTCCTACACTCTGGTACTTCTACTTTTACTCAAGTACAAGATCTGAGTCCTTCTACTTTTACTCAAGTACAAGATCTGAGTACTTCTACTTTTACTCAAGGACAAGATCTGAGTACTTCTACTTTTACTCAAGTACAAGATCTGAGTACTTCTACTTTTACTCAAGTACAAGATCTGAGTACTTCTGCTTTTACTCAAGTACAACATCTGAGTACTTCTACTTTTACTCAAGTACAAGATCTGAGTACTTCTACTTTTACTCAAGTACAAGATCTGAGTACTTCTACTTTTACTCAAGTACAAGACCTGAGTACTTCTACTTTTACTCAAGAACAAGATCTGAGTACTTCTACTTTTACTCAAGTACAAGATCTGAGTACTTCTACTTTTACTCAAGAACAAGATCTGAGTACTTCTACTTTTACTCAAGTACAAGATCTGAGTACTTCTACTTTTACTCAAGTACAAGATCTGAATACTTCTACTTTTACTCAAGAACAAGATCTGAGTACTTCTACTTTTACTCAAGTACAAGATCTGAGTACTTCTACTTTTACTCAAGTACAACATCTGAGTACTTCTACTTTCACTCAAGTACAACATCTGAGTACTTCTACTTTTACTCAAGTACAACATCGGAGTGCTTCTACTTTCACTCAAGTACAAGATCTGAGTACTTCTACTTTTACTCAAGAACAAGATCTGAGTACTTCTACTTTTACTCAAGTACAAGATCTGAGTACTTCTACTTTTACTCAAGTACAAGATCTGAATACTTCTACTTTTACTCAAGTACAAGATCGGAGTGCTTCTACTTTTACTCAAGTACAACATCTGAGTACTTCTACTTTTACTCAAGTACAACATCTGAGTACTTCTACTTTTACTCAAGTACAAGATCTGAGTGCTTCTACTTTTACTCAAGTACAACATCTGAGTACTTCTACTTTTACTCAAGTACAAGATCTGAGTACTTCTACTTTTACTCAAGTACAACATCTGAGTACTTCTACTTTTACTCAAGTACAAGATCTGAGTGCTTCTACTTTTACTCAAGTACAACATCTGAGTACTTCTACTTTTACTCAAGTACAACATCTGAGTACTTCTACTTTTACTCAAGTACAAGATCTGAGTGCTTCTACTTTTACTCAAGTACAACATCTGAGTACTTCTACTTTTACTCAAGTACAACATCTGAGTACTTCTACTTTTACTCAAGTACAACATCTGAGTACTTCTTCGCCTCCATATTTAAAAAAACGAAAACCTTTACTTATGTAACATTTTCAATGCATGACTTTGACTTGTATCAGAGTATTTTTTTACAGTGTGGTGTGAGTACAGGACTTGTATTAAAGTAAACTCTCTGTGTACTTCTTCCAGCTGTGAATGAACCAGCCTATTACTCTGAGTAACTCTTTGAATGTGAGCTCCATGAAGTTTAATGTGTGGCAGCGTACAGCAGAGGGAGCTGCATCATGTGCTGTTTGCTCTGAACCTGAGCAGAGCTGCTGCAGAGGAGAGGCTCCTAAGAGACTGGGAGGCTACAGGAAGTGTTGAGCACCTGTTGATGTAGAAATGAATAAATGGCACTATGGAATTCAAATGTAAAGACGTGTGTATCGTGTGTGTCTGTGACCAGCCTGAGGATATCAGAGCTGCTAAATCACTTTGGAAAGCTGTGTGATTTGATTAGTGTTTTGTTTTTTATTTTATTTGTTTTATAATGTAATAAATGTATTTTTTCTCAATATTTGTGTGTTTCAAATGTGTCCTGTTTTTAGGTTAAACTCTTTTTGACATTTTTATTTATTATTATTTTAATTGTATTATTATATTGTAACTATTTCCATTGTATATTATTCATTATGACTTTTATTCAATTCTATTAATATTTTGTTTTTGTTTAATTATTATTATGTGTATTATTATTATTATATTGTAACTATTTCCATTGTACATTATTAATTATTTTTATTAATATTTAGTTTAATTATCATTATGTGTATTATTACAAAAACATGTTTTTATTCATTATTATTACATTTTGTAAATGTAGGAATTATTAACATGTTGTTGTATTATTTATATATATTTGTTATCTTATTAGTATTATTTAAGCAGTCCCAATATCAGCTAAGGATAACTTTACCCACACACTCTGGTGGCTCTATAGTGACAGCAGAATGCAACAGGAGGAGCATTTTGTTACCTGAACTGCAGCTTTGACACCACTTCACGGCGTCTCTGTTAATTATAACATGCACAGTGGTGAAACATGGTTATATAGAGCGACTTTGACAGTGCACTGCATCACAGTGAGTCCACCGACACCATACAATGCAACAGATTGTGAGCAATTGGGAAAGGTGTGATAACATCAGCCGCATAATTGGTACATGGGGAATGGGGTGTGTGCATTCGAACAGACAAAGGTGCATGAATGAAAGCATGAAGGGAGATCTGCACATTCCTCTGACTGCAAACTACCTCTCTAAAACACAGCTCTTCCACCTTTTACTTCTGATATATTACTCATACTACTTTCTACTTAAACGGAAATGTGGCATATGCTTGTTTATTTTCCTTTATGCATATTTCTTGTTAACATTTGTTTTAATAATTTTTTACAGTCTTTTTTTTGTAATATACTTTATTCCTCTTACTGTTTTTATGTTTTTTCATTATACGACGCCACAATACCTACAGTAAAATAGATGTTGTTCCTGATGAGTGTTAATTAAGGTAGAAAGTAAGTAAATAAAGAACAATAGGGGGTGATTTAAAAAAAGAGGGAGCAGGCAGGGGCGGCATTAGATTGTTTGGGGCCAGTGGGGCGATTTTACCTCGAGTGGGCCCCCAATCCACACCAATTTATTTTAAAAACACTCTTATCTGATATTTAGCATTTGGTAACAAAACTGTTATATGGCACCCAACCCTACTGATATCATAGTTATGTTGAAGAACACATGAAGTGAAAACACAAGTGAAAGTGAGTTGATGCACTTGTGAAAATGAAAAGTACTCCAAAAACATCCTGAAACATAAAAAGCATCAACTCACGGCTCATTGTGCAGGTTGACATAGCACCAGAGTTATATACACACACACACACACACACACACACACACACACACACACACACACACACACACACACACACACACACACACACACACACACACACACACACACACACACACACACACACACACACACACACACTCAAGGACGCACATGTGCATGAGTCCGGCACTTCCCTCCCACCGACAGATGGATGGGGTTAATATCATAATTAAGCACCTCGGCCCGACGGTTCCTGTTTACCGCTCGGTTGCTAGGCAGTGACATCAGCTGATCCCTCCCTCCTCTCCGTCTCTCTAATCCCTCACACACACACACCGCTCTCTCTCCCTCAGACAGGCAGCAGCGCAGTGGGCAGAGTGTGTGTACAGGCGGAGGAGCGGGTAGGTAGTAGTGTGTGTGAGGCTGTCAGACAGCATGGTCTGGGTGTGAGGACAACAGGAAGACACTTCTTCTTCTTTATCTTCTTCTTCATGTAGAACCAGAGAGGTGACATCCACAGATCACCTGCACCCAGGTCAGAAGCAACAGGAGGAGGAAGAGGAGGAGGAGGAGGAAGAGGAGTACGAGGAGGAGGAACAGGAGGAGTACGAGGGTATCTCTTTTTATTTTTTTGTTGGATTTGGGAGTTGGACCGCATGCATGACACAACGCAAAGGGGAGAAACCCACCATCAGCATCCAGGAGCACATGGCCATTGACGTGTGCCCCGGCCCCATCCAGCCCATCAAGCAGATCTCAGACTATTTCCCCCGTTACCCCCGGGGTCTCCCCCCCTGCGCGCCCCAGCTGGTGGGCAAAGCCGGGCCCCCGAGCTCCTCTGCCCCCCCCAGCTCTCCGGCCACCACCTCCAGCACCTCCACCTCCTCCATCACCGCCGAAAGTGAGCGCCCCAATGAGGATAAACCGGACCGGGCTTCTGCCGGAGCCTCCGCCTCCTCACACAGGAGGGACGAGGAGCCCGACGTGGAGGGATATGACTCCGACGACTCCAGTGAGTGATGATTGTTTTTTTCCAATGTCTATCCCTTTCTTGTCTTATTACTGCATCTCCATTTTTTTTGGGCCACCGGTTGCCAGGCATCCCTCCAGCTGCGTATTTTTATCTCTCACCTTTTTCTTCCCTGTCCATCTCTTTCTATCTCAAATCACCTGTGTGTGCTACTGTGTGTGTGCCACTGTGTGTGTGTGTCACTGTGTGTGTGTGTGTGTGTGTGTGTGTGTGTGTGTGTGTGTGTGTGTCACTGACTGTGTGTGCTGCAGCTAACTCTTTCGCTCTCAGACAGCCAACTGTTGCTGCTGCAAAGACTACAGCCCCCCTTCCTCCTCGTTCTCCTTTTGTATCCTCTTCTCTGCTCTCCAACAAATTACATGTGCCATTTTATTGAAGCAAATGATTACATGTGTGTGTCAGCAGGTGTGTATGTGTGCAATGTTCATACTCCCCGTGTCTGCAGGGGTTCGCTGTGTTCTGTCGATCAGTCTCCGGGGCTGATGATTCATGGCTTCTTGCTGAAGCTTCACATTAGTCGCAGTTTTGCGCTCAGCGGAGTCTCACTGCATCTGTACTGACTGGTGGCAAGACAGGCAACTTCCAATTGTGTGGGTTTATCGCTTGTCTGTCTGCCTGTTCTTGGGCTAATTTCCAATGCATAAAGATGTGTGTGTGCATGTGTGTGTGTGTGTTCATATCTCCCTCCATCACAAAGCGAAAGGCTCCTTTGAGAAAGCCTTTGTTGAATGTCATTCCTTTAACCTGACAGGTTTGAGTGCATGAATAATAATGGAAATGAATACCATGCGTGCACAGCTATTGGAGCGATAACAAGTCAACGAGATTTCTCCATGCTGCAAAACCATTTTGTCTCCCAGCTAACATCTTCACTGACAGATGATACGACAGTCTGCAGCAGTGCTGAGGACTCTGAGATAATGTAACGGCAAAATGAAATCTGCCGCTAAAGGCATCGTTTTGTCACGGACGCAAGGATATGTGTGGTAAATCACTGAGTCTCTGGTTTAGCAATCCGTTGCGTCTGAACTTTCTCCCGGCTGCAGATCAACATGTTGCTCTCACAAAAACAGACACGGTGCATTTGCATTACGAAGCTTTTCGAGAGGTTTGTTGCAAGTTGTGAGTGCAGGTTAATGTGTGACAGCAGTGCGGCTTCTCTTAGAGTTAATCCATGCAGAGCAGCATGCAGGGGGGTTTAGGCCATCTCTAATCCAGAACTGGACAGAAGAGGGAGGGGGGGATGGTAGGGAGCCGAGGCAGGTCGGGCCTGGCAGATGTTGCTCTATAACCTCTGCCAGGCAACCAGGATATCACTCAGAGGGGAGAAAGAGAGACGGAGGGAGGCATTTTTGTGAGAACAGTCCTCGATTGATGCCAGATCTGACTCCTGCAGCCAGATACGACTGGGTGGGTGTTTCTGCCTTTTGTTTTCAGCAATGACAACAATGTGCAAAGTGAAGTGTGTGGGAATTCATACCATCAAGTGCAAAGTGATACTTACAGTCCCTCTTAGACTCATACTGCTAAATCAACAAGCTATTTTTGGAGCTTTTCAAACAGCTCAGTCCAGGGATTCGTCATGAGGTAAACGTCCACTTCAGCGCCATTTACATATCCTGATAAAAAAATGCATATTCATATACTTTCAATTACTTTCAGCCAAGAGTGTGTTTTGATGTGAGATGGGTGAGAATGTATGGATGTTGTGCTACATGCTAATCTGTTTGGGACACTCTGTGGTCCATGAGAGGAAGGCCAATAAACCCCAAGCTGCTTTCTACCTGTTGTTCTAATGTGCAGCCAGGCATACAGCAGATAAATACAGTATTGCACGACTGGCAAATCGATCCAACTCCTCCCGTCAAAGCGTTCCCATATCTTTCCCAATGGACAGGACAACATGTGTGTGAATGAGAGGCAATTTAAGTGAAGTGCCGTATATTTTAAGGCGTTAATATACAAGTACAGTATTGTCCATTCACCATTAGTGGCTATTATCATCCGGGCAAGACCCCAAAAGTGGCAACGTTCACAATGTATGTACTGATGGAGTTCTGAGTTCTAGGGTATTTTTCAGATCCTCTAACATTGTCTGCCTTGTCTGTAACTAACCCTAACCCTACCAATCTGAAAACCATGCCTGCATTATAAAATGACTGGCCAGTAAAAAACTAAAAGAAGAAAACATGTTGGACTGTCCCTATAGTTCTCTTTTTTCTCAAGTTTCCGTACAACCGTGACTTCTTAGAAAGGAGACTCTCAGAAAGTGCCATTTGTAAAGTTCAGAGACTACAAAGACATGCCAAGACAAATTGAGCAATGCAATCAGAGAGATAACAGCAGCTGCAGGAATGAGTCCTAAAACCTGGGAACTGAGTCAACACTTTTCCACTTCTGGTTCTCTTGTCTCGAATTCAATGGCTTTTGTATTGTTTTTTGTGTAGATGCCTGAACAAAGATCTGATAACACAACATTCAGAGGTCAGAGAGTTTTGTTCTATGACATCAAATATGTAAGTAAGTACACTACTCAAGAATTTGTAAGGTTTTACACGTCTTAAAAATGGTGATTGCTAACAAAAGGCTATTGGAGACTGCAGAGGTTTTGGTGGACGTTAAACATCACTCAGTCAGTAGTCAGTCTTTTTCTGTCATTTGACTGATATCGTTTTTTTCATTGCCTAACATTAGATTTCTACTTGACTTCATATCATAGTAGTGTTCATTTGTGAATATTAATATGCTGAATTTAACAAGTAAATATCAAACACTCTTGTTTGCTACAGCTTGCTTTCAGTAACTATCCAAAATCCAGTTGAAAATATCATGTTTGTTTTTGGTCGAGGGAACTACGGTCATGATCATTTTCAGTCGCCTACAAAATGATGTCATACCTGCAGATCTCTATTCAGAACAGGTACACATGTGGTTTGACGACTCATGTGCAACCTAGTTTGAAGCATACTGAGGTCCTTAAAATGCAACTATAAAAGAAGAAGTTTCAAAACATCTGAATAGATTTCTTGGTTGCGTTTACACTTTTCTTTCTTTTGACAAAGGTAGCTATCTAATCAGCTGCATCGTGCGTTTTACATGCTGCAGCTATGTGTACATAATGGTTAGATACAAGCAACAGGTGTTAGGAGCCTGTGGCTTGAATACATTTAATGCAACTTGCTATTGCTGCACAGTAACTTTACGGCTTGTTTTTAAGGCAACAGTTGATGATCAGTCGCTTTACCAGTTTATTCAAACGTCGAAAACACAGCTCCTCTCCATCCTCCCTGCTAATAAGGCAATTAGACACAAACATCTGTCGGAGAATCATCTTAATGATCTAATTATCACCTGAAGAGTAATCAGTGCTGCAGGATAATCAGGATGTCAAACACACTTCTCAGAAGAAGAAAAAACTAGGCCAAAAAAGGAAGGAGTGTCATGTAACCATGGTAACGGTTAATTGTAAATAAAAGTATTGGATGGGTCAGCCAAAGTCTGAGCCATCTGCACGCTTATCACCAGCCTCAGATGTCCTTAATGAAGGCAGCCACTGAAATAAATAAATGAATTCTTTCACACACACATACGGGTATTCGGCCGAGGGCGACACCGTACTTCCGGTATCCGCCATTTCACACGAGGTGCAAGCAGAATATCATAGTCTATTGCCTTAATCAATATCTAGTCAACTCTAAAATACCACATATATGCAATGGCATGATAATATTATTGTGAAAAGTGGGGTATTCACCTGGTGTTTCCAGAAATTAGACGTAGATGCAGCCAAAATCGACGAAGGCCACTTTCGAGGGTCATTTTTCCAAACATCTGCAGGCAGTCTGTGACGGCCCCTACACACGGCGGCGTGCGTTGCCGCTTCAACGCTTCTGCCCATTCACTTTGAATGGGGTGACGTCACGATTCGCCGAACTGCATTGTGGGAGCAAAGCGTAGATTCTCTCGCGGTGCTCGCTGCAAAAGTAGAGCAATGTTCTACTTTTGCCGCCTCGACGTCAGCCAATCAAATCCCGCGTATGCAAATCTGACAGTACAAGCGCTAGCCAATCAAACCGCGTGTATGTTGGGAGAGCCAGACCGCAGTTATTTCCCATATGTCAAAAAATGGAGGAGAAAATTATCGTGGCGGTAGGGAATCACCCGGTACTATATGACCAGTCCCTCTTTACATACAGGGATACAAACCGGAGGAGCCAGGCATGGGGGGAGGTGGCAGAGACAGTGGGTGAAACTGGTAGGTTTTCGCTTGTTTGGGGAGTTTATATCCAGTGTACTTCGTTTGAATGGACAGCTAGCAAGCATAGACAGTATATTTAGCCAGCATGGATGTAGCATAAATGCTTTGCTTTGTATGTCCGGAGCGGGACATTCATGTGATTGGTTGTTGGTTGCGTTGCTCGCGTTGACTTCCCAAGCTCAAGACACGCCCACCGCCAAGCAGCAACGCACGGCTCCGTAAGGGCAATCCGACAACCCACACAGCTCTAGTTTATGCTGGTAACGACCTAGAGCACACCCCTCAAGTCCAGAGATGTAATCCGAAGACATGCAGCGATTTCTTCGGTCGTTAATTCAGAAAAAAAACCTAGTGCGCTCTGCCTGGATACGTTAGCTAGCTGTTTATATTTGCACCTCCAGGATATTTGCACCTCCAGGAAAATGGCGTATTTATATATATATATATGACACGCGTTGCATTGTGGGTAGCTCGTGACGTCACTGTGTGTGAAAGAATAAATAACAAGTGGCTGTTTGTGTCTGATGCAACGTCCCAAATAAATCCAAGCTGCTGCTGCCAAGGGAGTTTGGAAGTGGAAACACAAGTCGTATAAACAAAATCAAAATGCAGTGTGATTCTGCTTTAAGGAACAACATCAAAGACTCAGTGATAAAAGTCCAAACTAAAGCACTTTAACACAACAGTTGATATACCCGGATCATCATCTGGTTTTGTTGTTAGG